AGGGCTTCAGGTTCAAGCAGGAGTAGTAGTAGTTCAAGCTGTTGCATATTACTGCTATAAGTAATCATACTAGAATACCATCATTACTGTCATTATGTTGAGAGTATGTTAGTGCTCTTGGGAGTACTACTATGACTTGTACGTCAGATACTTGGATACTTGTAACATTCCTAATGTGGTCATCATGAACAGCATGCTTCCAGCATATCGACCCTCATGCACACGGGCCGTGCCTGTGGTGCTCAAGCAACGACCGGTTCTCACATCTCGGAATTTTCGCCTACCCGCGAGAGACATGCGACGTTCAGCAAAGGTGCGGTGTCTTGGAACGCCTGGGAAGCTAACTCCGTTGCCAAGCCACTCCACGGGCGCTCCGTCCGCATCCGGCTGTACGTAAAATTCTCCGAGACTCTCGGAAGAGCCATGTTGCCGCTCGAGAGAAATTCCGGTTGCAAACCATCGGTAGAAGAACAACTCCTGGCAGCAAAGGCCAAGTTGTTCCCAAGACTTTCACGGCTTTTTGAAGGTTCACCCCGAGGCGCAACGGGCTCCTGCCAGTTTCGCACGTCCAAGTCTTTATAGTAGCTGTTCACCACCTGTTTCACCGAAAACGCACCCGAGGCGGCTTCAGATTAGAACAGTTCACGGCCCTGTCCGACGTCCCGAACAAAAGCTACAGGAATAGGAAACCGTATGGAACAATGCACACCGGGCCTGACACTCAGAAACCTCGGTATGCACCCGAGCTGCGGATTTACCCTTGAAAATGACAACCTCTAGTTGGTGACAAAGCAACTGTCGAGTTGCCTCTGCTTATCAGGGCCCGAGGCTAACACACGGAAGGCGATTGTGGGGAACATTCCAAAACCATGTGTAGATCGATGACAATATCAATGTTGAGAAGAACCAGCAGGACAAAAAGCAAACACAATAACAAAAAAACGCTCACCTGGATGTAGGCGCTGCACTGGAAGTTTGCAAGGCCTTTCGAACCGCTCGCGGCAAGCCAGCTTCCAGTGGCCTCGTGACATATCTAAGACCATCGTAGGAACCGATGTCTTCTGTAGTCTTTTGGTCTCCTAGCACAAGTCATGTGCAGGTTAACCAGGTTCGACCTTACTAAACACTATCTTGAAGACTTTCTCTAAGGTCTCAGTCCCAGTGGCACAGGTCAGAGCGAAGCCAGAGGTCGGGAGTTTGTTGGCTAAGGAAGTATACCTGGGAGTTTCTGACATGGGGCGTTTGTCCTCTGCCGCAGGTCGGCACGATTCGCTTTTGTTTCGGAAACTCCCACCTCTCACCCCAACAGCCCACCTTCAGCATCGTGCCATGGTCAAAGCGCTTCGGCAAGAGTCTCTTGCTGAGTATGTTGTCAAGCCCAGCCTGTGTTGAATCCATATACCTGCATGGCGAGCACTCTTCGACTCCCAGGCCGCCAATGAAGAGGAAATCGTCGCACCTCTCGAAGAGAGTCTGATCCAAGCATGGCGCTCTCATCAGGGACTGCGTGGAGGCAGTGTCATAATAAGCACGCAGACTCTGGCGACGCTTGGTGGTATGCCAACAGAGCACCGGGTCAGAAATGGCGCAAACTTCAACAGTCTTAGGGAAGGAATAAAGAGTGCCTGACAAACCAATCTCACGCCAGAGTTCTGTGCACTGGCTGAACAACCGGCACAGCTTGGCATTGAGAACTTCACCAGCGAGGAAGTACTTGCATGCTTGAGTCTGTGAACACTGGCTTTGACATTCCTCTGCATCCACAGCTTGCACCTCTGTCTCGTAAATGATGTTTATGAGTGCCGAAAGTTCGCACGAAAGCTCACCTGTGACGATGGGAAAGGGCGGCGGCCTGAACCTATTCTGGCTGCCTGCCGGGATTGCTGAAAAGGACTCGCTTGTCACAGGCAAGTTCTGCCCCCAGGGAGGCGGAGCACAATGGCAAGGATGCAGCCAAAAGTCGTTGATCGTCTCGGTGGATGGGTCATCCACCACAAGCGTCTGCACCCCTTCCTCTATAGCAGTAACCCTGTCGTCCGCGAAAGTCATGTTCGGAGAGTCACAGTGGAGTGTCTCCACTTCGAGATCGGCACGGACAAATGAGCCTCCGATCCGGAAAAAATCCTCTGTCCTGCCGTCCGCGAAAGCTTCGTTGATGAGGTCACCTGGGTGGTCTTTGGTCTGTGTTGGTGTTATTTTCACTGAGACCATATGCCCAAAAATAGTTGAAGAGAAACCGGGCCACGAAAACTGGTGCCAGCAGCTCAGGTGTCACACTTGAAATTTAACATTTAGAGACATCCCCTTACCTCTTACGTAGGCGTGTCGGCTTATGTAAAGTTTGGTGGCAAGGCACGCACCACAAGGCCGTTCAGAGTTTCTTTTCCACATCGGTGATACACACTGTGCTCTGATCCCGAACTTGAGGCATAGCTCCCGGCAGTGGATTGAACATATATGGTTGCGCAATCCTGGTGACAGGTGTCGTTTCTGCAGCCGTGCCTTGCATCTATGTCTCCAAAATGGAGATTGAATGCTTGCGAACTGGGCCCGGGCGATTCGTGACAGTTGTATTTTTTGAAGCTCGGCACTGCAGTGTTTTTTCGAAAATGGCATCCATCGCAAAGATGGGGTGTCTTGGAACCTGATGAAGCCCAGCGCCGAAGTTTGGCGAGAGCCAGAACAATGTCGCTGCTTTGGAGCTCGAGGGAAAGCTCGGATGTATTGCTCTTGGGTCAGCATGTAACGAAGCTTTTTATAGCGTAGCAAGACACAGCTGAGCGTGTAAACAGAAGTCGTCAGCTGACTTGCATTTTTGACTTTGGTTCGCTGTGAATGAAAAGGAATTGCGGTGCGTCCCTGCTGTGCCATGGCCACTGCTATCAATCCGACTGATGCTCAAGAGCATCCAAACCGTGATGACGTTGGGCATCAACAAGTTGTGTCAGGACGTTCAGATTAACCTAGCAACAACTGAATTCGTGGAAGCAAGCGAACTCAGGTCCAAGAAACATGCAATGCTGAACAGTTCAACTCAGTTAAGCCCTTTGCTGCGGGCGAAAAATTGTCCAGATGGTTGGCCAGTAACAGGTGATAATTTGTGGGACGCGCCAGAGAGAATGTTCGCTAGTTCCCCAACCACCCCCGGCATTAGTGAATCGCACTGTCTGATAGTTGCACAAGGGGCAGCATCGTCTCATGACACCCAGCAGCGGTCCGATACCGTCAGTTCATGGTGCATTTCTGGTGCCCTGCTTGCTTGCGAACTTACTGCGCTTGGCATGACAGGAGTGAACAAGCTGCCTTGCTGTTTCAAGAAAGTTTGCCTGAAGATCTCGCGGATTCGGGAGGACGTCGCTTCGGTGGGTTAGTGGAACAAGTTCTTCAAAGGCCATAGCAGCACCGGGAAAACACCAGGACCTAGACCCTTATCAGTAACTTTGGCGGAAGCCAAAACGCCTTCGGTGCCGCTGCTAAGAAGAGCTACTTACGTACGGATGACCACCTGTCTGTCTATGACGACGTGAACGGGGTCTGTGTTACCGGGCACCGTGCATAAACATCCCTGGAGTAGCTACACCATCTCTGTTGGGGGAATAACTGGAGAGTGTCAAAGACTATATGCTACCATCCAATCCAATGTCTTCTACAATTTTGAGAAATATAATTGGGCTTTTGGAGTTTAAACCTGCAAACCCTGTTTAAGCCAGCCATATCCACCCTCCACCGCAACTTGGCCCTCATTGCATAATTCCTTGTTCTTAGGGGGAGGCCCTGTCCCGATACTCTAAATCCTGAAGTGCGTACCGGGAGTCTCGTTCTGAAGGTATCGGCCACCACTTCTCCTCCGAACGCCATGTAGGCCGCAGAGGCGTTTTGGTAGTCGCCTACAGGCAAGAACCGCGGGAAGTCAAACACAAGCAAGATATGTTGCTGGGGTGACACTAAACACTCCAAAATGGCGATACAGTTTGGGGCTGTCCTGATGGACGGATCTTGCCCAAAACCTACGCCCGAACCTTAATGCTTTCACACTCGCCTGGTCCTGGTCGCTGGAGAACCCAGTCCCCGTTAGCTCCTCGGTTTCGGAAGGATACGGTACACAGGTATTCGGGCCTCTGGGTTTAAAATAGGTCAGTCTTTGAGTTCAGGGCTACTGTAGGGCTCGGTATTTTCAGGTTGTAGGGTTGGGTTTAACTGCAGGGACTGTCCTTGTTTGATACAAACTGGCACTAGCTCAAACTTCCCCTAGTTGGCTCCTCGACGGTGGAACCAAAAGCTCTCGTAGCTTGTGATGCCTTCCTTCAGGAAGACCAAGCCGCCTCACGTCTGGAATGGGTGCGCATGAGCCAGGTAGCCAAACCCAAAATTCCTGTATTAACTTTTCTCGACTCGCCTCACGCGCCTCACGCTCATAACAGAAACAACGCATACTCAAAACCGCACGCGGGAGCGTGCCTGGATAGCGATTCTCCCCGAAGTAGCAGTAGCGCCCATTCAAATAGTTCTTCAACCCGGTGATCCGGATGCAGGTTTTCCGCTCCGAGCAATCGGATACCCTGGCATAAAACACATCGAATGGCTCCTCAGTGCATGTGCCGACATTAAGAACCAAGGCCAGCAGAAAGTGCGTTGCTAATTGGAGCGATGGTCTCGCTAGGTGTGAGCGAAATGGTTGAAGCTTCTTCTTAGCGTACGATCGTTGCGTGCTACGTGGCAAGCGCGGTTCCTTTGCTTTCAATCTAATTTCCCAGTTTTACGATGCTTTACGAAGCTATAGTACGTCGTATCACTGCTGTACTCTGAATCCGTTGATGCTTTAACATGCTGCTTTGGACCCACAGACCTGCATGCAGAACTTCTGTCGGCTACTCGAACAAATCATTGCAATGATTCTCATCTTGCTCAAGTTGCACATTTCAATCGGCAGGCTTTTTGCGGCGTGTCGGATGGGTTTGGAGCTCCAGACCTCCCTTTTTATACCTCTTAGAATCCGGGAGAAAGGCGACAAGAAAAAGAAGAAGAGCGGCAGACGGAGACCCCCCTCTTTCCACACCTGTCGCCTCTTCGTCTGTTCCCTCACCCTTGTCTTCCAACTATGTAATTCTTGTCTCCCCGATGCAACGAGGAGCGAGCAAAAGTATTCGCCCTTCTGTTAGTCTGTTAGTCGCTCTTGCCCCCCCTTGTCTGTCTTTCTCTGCCTGGTTTCTCTCTTCTTCAACACAGAGTAAAAACAAAGCGCGCTCCACCCTGCTCCCACGCAGGCATGCGCACCGGTTCGTGTCGTTCGTCCTAATGACACAAACAAAGTGACGGCACTGTCCTGTACGTGGAACCTGCCTACCTACTTGTATGTCCCCCAGCGAGCCTGGTGCTTGCACTTCGACCCCTCAAACCTCCGTCCCCGATGGTGGCGTTTGGTTTCTCTTTGCTTTGCTTTGCTTTGCTTTGCTAGGGGCAAGGGCCAAGGGCAGCCCCCCTGACCTGCGCGTTAGCGCAGCCCCGTCCATTTTGAGTGACAGGCTCGGCTGTACGACAAACTGAACGAGCACCACGTACCCCGTGTGGGGGTGTTTGTGTGCTGGCAGAGGTGTGTGCCACTATTTCCGGCAAAAGCTGTGTGTACTGGGGGCGGGCGTCCAAAAACATGCCTGAATTACCGGCCCTGAAGAGGCTTATGCTCGTCGTGGGCACGCCATTCTGTTGGTAAGCAGAGGGAAAGCGAAGGGTGCCCCGAGTACAAATTAGCAGGTGAGAAGACAGTAACCCTGTGGTAGGAGCGTCTCTGCGTTTTGCGTTTGCTTCTTGTGTGGTTCACGGAAGCCGGTTCCCGGCTCTTGCAAAGGTAAACTCTTCAAAACTGTGTAGCCGCTGTCCTCGTTGGTCGGGTGCCCCTACTTCTTGAGCTTCTTGCTCTTGTCGAGCTTGATGCCCATCTTGATCACTTTTTGTGCCAGGCCTGCTTTTGGAGCTCGCTCATCCGTCCTCGTGTTTGCTGCTGGTGCTCCGCGAGCTCGAGGTGGTAGTGCTGGCTCTGCAACCGTTGTGTGCCCGGGAACCCACTCCTTCACCGGTTTGTGTGGACGGTTCCCTGGTCCAGGGCTTCCCGCGGGTTGCCCCACTGTGTCCTCGACCTTCTTTGGGGCGGGTGCCCTTGGAGTGGGTGCCCCTTGTAGCCGAACTTTCTGGTCGTACTCCTCGATAGCCCTTCTCTGTGCTATAGCCCTGGCGCGAATAGCCAATTCTTCCTCTGGTACTCCGCTCCGTGCTGACGAGGACGCCGAAGAGGAGGTCAGGGTACTCGGTGCGGCGGTGGCGGCTCCTGCATGCTGTCGGGTCTCTGCGGCCTTGGGTGCCCCGTCTTCCCCGACGTCCATGATGGCCCAGAAAGCTGCATCTGACTCTTGTTCCCCAGTGTCACGCGGGATGTACTTGGTGAGCTTCGGGGGTACCGGTGGTTGCGGCTGAGCTGAGGAGATCGGCCACTCTCCAGGGGAACTTCATGATGTAGACCCGGAGCTCGTTCTCTATGCGGGGGTTATGCCTCCTCACGAGGTCGGTCAACCGGTGTGCTTTGCGGGCTGTTTCCCTTCTCTCGTTGTGTCTCCGTATGTAGCGCTTGTAGTCCTCGGTGTCTTCCGGGCTTAGCGGTTGCCTCGTCGTCAGGTCATGGTACCCCCACGTCCTCCAATTTCTGCGGATGGGTTTCCCGATCCACTTGTCCAGGTGGCTTGGCTCATAAAGGAGTCCAAGGCCTTGCTGAGTCTCGAACCTCACGTGCTCGCTGTAGGGTGTTAGAACTGTAGGGCCGAATCCTTCCCGGCTGTGGGTTTGGAGCAGGCTGCTCTCCATCCGAAGCTGCTCGCGCTGAGCTTCGGCTAGTGTGCTCCGGGCTCCTACGAAGTTCACAAAGGCGCTCCACGCTGGCGGCACGTCCCGTGGCAATCAGGAACTTGTAGCACGTGTCCCCTCCATCATAGGCCTTGTGGTAAAAGGAGCCCTCAAGACATGCCCGGCACGTCACGCCTTTCTCTTTCAGCTTCTCCGCCAGGCTACACTGCTTCTCCCAGTTGTGTTCACTTTGGCTGGTTTGGCAGCAGGGCTTCGCTCCCGCTTTTCCCCCTTTTTTGTGGAAGGACGTAGTTCACGTAGCCCGCGAGTTCCGCAGGGATGTAATGTGCTCCGTCCCCTTACTGGCGGGCCACCCTCCGAGCAGGGGCCGCGGTCGGGTTTCGAAGAGGAGCAGGACGACACGGGCCAAACAAAACAGCGGCGGGCACAGGACTCAAGCACCGCTGGTCGAACCGGGAAGGCTCCCCTGGAGTCACAATCCAGGTTAACCCCCCGGCTCCCCCCCGATGCAAAGAGGCAGCACAAGCCCCCAAGCAACTGTGCGATACTTGAGCCAACGTGCCTTCCTTGCTCTCTCTCTCTCTCTCTCTCTCCCCCTCTCTGCTTTGCACTGAAAGGATTGTGGAGGGCGATATGGGGAGGCACGCGGCCGCTTGCCATCAGAGGCAAGAGAAAGGAAGAGGGGGTAGGAGCGAGGGAGGGAGAGGGGAGAGGGAGAGCGAGAGAGGGAGAGGAGAGGAGAGGAGAGGAGAGAAGAAAAGAGGAGCAAGAATTCGAGAGAGATGGCTGGAAGAAGCAAGCGAAGTACTCCACACGTCTTATCCCAGCGATAATCTTATGGAAAGTCATGGATGTATATTAAAGGAAGGGTGTGTGCCGAGCTGCTTCGCACCCGGGGCTATCGAAGGTGCAGAGTTCTGTCCACTTCCTGCACCCCCGAGAAGCGGAATAGGAATAGTAGGCACAAGTCTTGTCGCTCCGGCATGCCCATCGGCACGCAGAATCGCTGGAAGGAGGCAGCGATACGTAGCTCGCAAACTTGGGCTTGGGCTCGGCTGCAGCTTCAGGCCAGCAAGTGTCGTCCTGCACAGTCATGTCCACCACGGTCCGAAGGAATGGCCCCGCCCCAAACGGGGGATACTGGTAGAGGGCAAAGATCTCACAGCTGAACATCAGCTTTCCTCTGCCACTTGTCGCCACAAAGGTACTTGCCAGTGCTTCTTCAGGGGCTAACCGCACAGAGCCGCTCGTCAAGTCCATGTCGAAGACGTGATAGCCCTGGTAAGTTGCCTGGCCTGTGACGACATCCAAAGTAACACCGTCGGTGCACTTTCCTGTGTAGGATGAAGGCGGCAGCAGTCGTGGAGCCTGGGTGGGTTCTGTGGGCCTGGCTGTAGGAGCCGCTTGTCCAACTGTAACCTCCCAGCTGGCTACATAGCTGAAGGATGTCCATACTTTCGGATTCACTGCCACAAACCGGGAGCGAACAGTTTCCAAGCTTCCTAAGCTTGGCACCGCACGAGCACTACAAATACCGCCCTCACTGGTTGCAAGTGTCCCGAGATCCGAAACTCCACCGTTTTGGGCCGCTTGCCATGTCAGAGTCCCGTCTTGAGCCAACCGAACCATGGAGGTTGCATCTGAAGGATTGCACTGAAGCGTATCAAAAGTCCAGACGTTGCCGGGTGCTTGCTGGACTGTGGGTACATACTGTAAAGCGCCAAGGGAGTCGTCGAAAGCCAGCCTCAGCAACGACGGAAACTCCGGCCAAAGCCCCACAAATCAAGTGCCTCCCATCTGCCAAGTTGCGGCTCGGCTCCATACGAGACGCCCTGATCCACCTGAACTGTAAGCGTCGCCGAAGCCGCGAGCTCGGCTGTCTGCTGGGCTGTGATGGTGCAGGTCACTGTGAAGCCCTGGGGAGCAAATTACACAGTTGCAAGGACCCTCGCAGCCCTTGGGAAATTCAGTGCGATTCCCTCTCCTCGGTTCTGTCGCGGCCCACTGTTTCGCCCGGTACAACTTCCAATTCACCGGTCTCCTTGGAGTCACGACGACTTGAAGATCTAAGACTCAGACTTACACCAAGCATCTGGGGTATGTGTAAACGATGCGGTCGTGATGTGCCCACGGTCTGTGTCAGGTTGCGCATTGGGTGTGCAAAAAACACGCTCGAGTTTTTTCTCAAGCTGATTTTCAGAAGCAGTCCAGCCAAGACTTGTTCATTCTGACGTGTGCCCCTTGCACATCTTGTCTTGCCGAAGCCATTGGTTCATGCTGTTTTTTCCATGTGCTCAGCCTGACATGTGTGAGGGGCTTGGTAGGGGCACGTTAACACAAAACAGAGGACGGAGGATCACAACTGAAAATTGAGCCCGAAATACCTTCTGCTCAGTTTCAGCCTTTCCTTAGCATATGATCTTGAAAACTTCGAGCCCATGCTGAACCCCGGTTCAGCCCTGGTCGAAAGCTGTGGTAAGCCTGAGACAATGCTTGCCCTTAGCCCGAAATCCAGACCAATCCAAGATTCAGCTCGAAAGATGCGGATAACCCGCTATCTTGAGCCCCAGATGCATGCTGTAAACCCTGTTCAGTGAGCAAAAGTGCCCCTTGTGCCTGGTTTGGACAGCCGAGAGTCGCCATTAATGGCCATGCCATGTTCCAAGAGCGTGCAACCCTTGTTTATTGAATACTTGGTAGCTGTACG